TTTAACATAAAAAATGTATTTTAATTAATAATTTTTTCTTAAATGCATTTTTTGTTCATAGTTTCACTTAATAAAAAAATTCAATTGAATGCCTTAACCTTTCGAGTCAATTAGCATCCTATCAACTTAAGGTGCATTTTCTCTCCCCTTGAGCGGGTGCAAAACCCACCTTGACAAGTTGTTCAAAAAAAAAAATTCAATTGAAATTCATTCATTTAATAATAAAAATAAAAGCTGATGGAACATAATTAAACTCTTTGCTAAAAAAAATAAGGTTAAAATGTTATTTTGGTATCTCAATTTTTAAATTTATACTAAAATTATTTTTAAACTTCAAAAAATATCAAAATTATCCCTAAACTTTAATTTTTAATATCAAAATAATCCTTTTGTTAATGAAAATTCCATGTGACTCATTATTTTGCCACAAAATCAATTCTTTTTTAAAATATTAATGAGATGTAAAAAATCAAATAATTATATTTTGCTATCATTGTATATTTTCAATTACATATCAAATTGATATGTAATTAAGGTTAAATGACTAAATTGGTATTTATAATCAAAGTTTAAGGTGTAAGTTTGTTACTTATCTTCAAATTTCAAGGACTAAGTTAGTACAAAATTAAGGTTTAGGCATTATTTTGGTATCAAAAATTAAAGTTTAGAGATAATTTCAGTATTTTTTAAAGTTTAAAGACAAGTTTGGTACAAATATAAAAGTTTAGAGACCAAATTGGAATTTTAACCAAAAAAACGCACACACAGTCCAGCTCATCCGGCCCAACCCGGCCCAATCTAAAAATTGACTTCCATATAAGAATCCGATATTTTCTCTAACCACGTGTCAACACCAGAAACGTTCTCTATAAAAACGGCGCATCCTCATCCGGACTATCCTCCTCTCTCCAGTACAACCCTTCCCTTCCCCCCTAGGGTTTAGTCTATAATATAACCAGATCTCCCGCCGTCGGACACCGAATTCCGTCGATATGATGCATCAGTCAGCACCCGGAGGAGTGGTACCGCCGCCGCAGGTGGTTGGTGACCAGCAGCAGGCGCAGCAGCAGTACCAGCAGCCAACGCCACAGCAGTGGATGATGATGCACCAGCAACAGCAGGCGCCGCCCCAGCCCGTTCCTCCTCCTACCGGTTGGACCCCGCAGGCGGTTCCTCCTACTCAGATGCAGCAGTACCAGGCAGCGCAAGGCCTGGTAGGCACTGGTGAGATCCGGTCGTTGTGGATCGGTGACTTGCAGCATTGGATGGACGAGAATTATCTTACTGGCCTCTTTGCTCATACTGGAGAGGTAATTTCATGGCTGATTTATTGATTTGTTTATATTTTCTAGATGTGTACTTCTAGGTCTCCGTAAGGTTTGTTTCTTTTGCCGAACTTAGGGAAGATAAAATTGGGGTTATTAAAATGTGCTTCGTTTTTTGATGTCAACGTGTGGTTTGGTTGCATCCTTAAATTAGTTCTGTAATCTATTAGGAAAAGATAGGGATTATAGTGTGAATGGAAGATCAAGAATTTCACAGTGAGTCCAAACAAGGCTTTTGGAGAATAGAAAGAATTTTTAGTTTGTAAACATTGCTTGTTTTATGGCCTAGGTCAGTCTCTTCTCATACCAATTTTGTGATGTTATTGGGTCTTATATTCTGTTATTTCTCAGTGGCACTTCTGGTTTCTATCAGGTGCTTTCTGCTAAGGTTATTCGCAATAAGCAAACTGGTCTTGCAGAGGGGTATGGCTTCATTGAGTTTGTTAGTCGTGCTGCAGCTGAGAGGGTTCTGCAAACATATAATGGAACAATCATGCCAAGTACTGAGCAGCCTTTTAGATTGAATTGGGCTTCGCTTGGCCCTGGTGAGAAGCGTCAGGATGAGGGCCCTGATCATACAATCTTTGTTGGAGATTTGGCAGCCGATGTTAATGACTACATGCTACAAGAGACATTTAAAGTGGTTTACCCATCTGTGAAGGGTGCTAAAGTGGTAACAGATAGGATCACCGGGCGGTCTAAGGGCTATGGTTTTGTAAGGTTTGGTGATGAAAATGAGCAAATTCGTGCCATGACCGAAATGAATGGAATGTTATGTTCCACTAGGCCGATGCGAATTGGACCAGCTGCAAATAAGAAACCTCTAACCACACAGCAGTATCCAAAAGGTACGTTATGCTGATGATCCCCTCTTTCTCTCTTTCTGCTAAATGATGTGTCATTTCTTGCCTGTAATTTTTGTCTGCCAATGATTTAGAATACTATGAGCTGTTTGCCAGTGATTTAGAGTACTATGACATGGTATGTTGAATACCTGCTGGTTGTAGGTTTCTTTTAGACTTTTACTACTTTTCATTTAACTTTTAAGGTGAAGTTGTTACAGCGCTGTTGAAATTCACATTCTTTTAAGCTACGCCCTTGAAGCTTGGCGGAATTTACAAAGTCATTTCCTTCCAGTTGCCTTATGTAAACTTGGACGTATTTAGTTATATGGAAACATGCAAAAACTTATATAAAACTCATGTTGTCTTAAAGCAGGACACCAAGAGGCTCTCATTTTGGGGGGCCTGGAACTATATCAGCTGAAATGATTCCACTTTAATGCGTGGCCTCATTTTAGGTCAGTTATTTTGTTTATGTCATAAGCTTCACAGTTCTTTTTCTTGTGGCATTTTTGTGCTACACTCGTAAGTTACTTTTCAAGTTCAAGTTCAATTTGTTTCAGTTTCCAAATATGCTTCCGTTAAATTTTTCCTTTACCTTTCCAAAGTCCAGATCCTTTGTTTTATTTCTTCTTGGTTCAGTTTCCCTTTCTTTTTGTATAAATTTGCGTTTTCCTTTTTCCCTTTTAATTAAAGCCGTAAATAATGGAAATTAGGTTAGGGTCATTGATGAATTTGCTTGCATGCTTTCATGCACTATTCTTGGGATGGGTTTTCTTCCTCTTCTCTCGTTGCAAGTTTTTGGCCTCCTTTTGCATTGTAATACCAGTATCCTTGTTCTCCTTCTATTGCTGTTGTGGCCAATGATGAGAATAATCTACTGAGGAGGGAGGACTTTGTACTTAAAGGCAGCACAACTGACCGATTTCATTAGTATAGAAATAGTCTCTTAATCTTCTACAATGAAGTTTAATGGTTCATTTGCATATGAAAAGCTCATCAAAGATCTTTCTTTTTCTTTGTTTTCAAGGCCTATTTTTCTTCAAGTACATAATGATTTCCTTCTGTGTATAATTTTCAGTTGTTTTTTGTATACCTTATCTCTGTTTAATGTGGATAAGTGTGTGTACAAGGGAAATATAAATGACTCTCTACATTTTTGGTTCCTGAAAGGTAATACTGCAAAAAGAGAGAAATTCCCAGTATTCCTTATGAAGTCAGGAGAAATCTCCAAATTTTTTAATGCTACATTTTTTTTTTTCCTTTGAACTGTTGGAAATGGTAGCTTGCCTTATTGACTACAGCTTTGGTATTGCCATGAATTTTTGGGATACCATGCTTAGATTCATCTAGACTGGTAATTTTACCCTTGATGGTGCCTGCAGGGTGGCTAGGAGTAAGGTAGATTATATAATACAGTGATTTATCATTTGATTAGTTGGTTTTGTTACTGTAAAGGAGGCCTCAACTTATTCTGTTTCTTCTTTTGCTCAATTTTTTTGGAATAGGATGTGTGAAATATATTGTGAATCTAGTTAAGATTTA